ACAAATGGTTTAAATTATAAAAAACCATATAATGAATAAATAATATAAACATATATAATATAATAACTATATTACTAATTAAGTGAATTAAGTAAAAAGAGTATTTCATGTATGTTTTACTATATAAGTTTATATAAATATATACACAAGCGATGCTTCAGGAATGCATTTTCATAAAGTTGCAACCTAATCAATAATTTTAGACAATCCAGAGCATATGTATCGTGTTTACATATTCATCTTTTCTATTTGACTTTTAGTCAGAAATACAAAACTACATTTTTATTAATTAATTAAATAATTTATTTATATAAATTATTATTCTTTAATTTTACGTGTAATTTCTTATATTTGTTAAACATTTAAGATATCACATTATCAAATATAACAAACATAATGCGTGCACATATAAACATAATACACACACTACGAGTTATTTAAAATTGGCGCAACTTTATATAGAGAAAAGTATTCCTAATCGCCTCTGCACATAATATAAGAGTTTGATAATCACTTAGTAGAAGATACAAGCGTATGTTTGACGATACATTTATCATGTACAAAATTATATATATATATATATATAAGTATGTATTTACATAATATATGTGTGTATACATACATTATATAATATATAAATACATACATTCGTGCATGCATATAAAGTTATCTTAATTAGTCTTCGTGAAATCGTTAAATAAAAGGGTGAAAGTGATCTATGGATGCGACTGGGAGAGGGTAGTGTATTTGTGTGAACGAAAATTATCGTATTTAGGGTAAAAGCCATAAACAAAAGAGATCCGTGATGACTGTTGCCGCAAATGCATATGATACATGTCGTATTTTGGTAAGATAGCCCATGTCCGACGTTTATTTGTGATAATCATTGCGCGGCGGCAGATATTGATTGCTAGCGCCGTCGTTAAAACCACTACCTCCTCTACCTAAAAAAGATATTAAAATTTTTATATTTACATGAAAAAATTTACTTACGATAAAATTCGAATATTAGGTAAATTATTTTCTAAAGTAACTGTTGATTTGAATATAAATGTTACACAATTATTAATGTAATTTTAATTTTGTGTAAATATGAATTGAATATAATTTTATGCTTAATATTACATTATCTTTAAACTTACTAGATAAATGGACATTTTTTAAAGTTTATAATATACAGAAACGTTGGAAAATTAAAGTACAGCATCTTTTGTTTGATAAAATGCAGAAGTGTATTGCAGTTTAAGAATTGAAATTTATTTCAAGTTTTTCTACTTTTAGATCTTCACGTGGTAGTATATTGACCTCCTTGATAACCGCCACCAAAGCCGCTTTCTTGATATCCTCCCGGTCCGTAATCTCCACGAGGATATTGAGCCTGCCCTTCGTATTGAACGTCCGCATTATATCCGTTTACGTCATCAGCCGTGTACCGGACAATCTGCGTCCTCGAATCCGGTAACAATACTCTATATTCTCCTTGAACAATATTACCGTCACTGCTCTCGCGCTGAGAATAATCATTGCCACTTGGTGGATCGACGACCTCGTAGTGGAAGCTATATGGTTGCGGCTGTATAATTCATAATAATCAGATAAACTATCTATCACCTCGTATATGACAAATATAAGGGTGATAAGAAACAAAAATAACAGATAATGCAAACTCAAAGTTTGCCAAGTTACACATTTTTTTAGATGTATCGTTCTGCACAGTTATCGTTTTAAATATTAAATAGGTACATAAAAATGATTGAAGCTGAAACATCAATGGATGTCACGATATAAGAGAAAAACTATAATGACTTATTTGACGTGACAGCCTTTCGATAAATATAAAAGGAACATTAAGTTTTACTTCTTTATTAAAAAAAAAAAATAAAAAAAAAAAAAAAAAATAAGAATCCACCTATTTAGAGCTCGAAGAATATAAAAATAATAATTTTACCCTTCCTTCATCACGTCCGCTGTATCCATATCCACCTTGATTTCCTCCAGCATTATTGTCCTGATATCCACCACCGCTACCGATTTGTCTATAAGACGACGATTGTCCTCCGAAACCGCCCGGTTTGCCGAAAGTATCGTCGATGCTGTTTGGTGGACCATATCCCTGACTAATTCTTCCCCTATAACTGCTCACTCCAAAATTGCCGTTGTGACCACCCCCAAAACCGGCATCATTAGCATATCCACCATTGCCGAATCCACCGCCACCACCTGGTCGGTTGTACTGATATCCCTCGGCACCACCTCCCGGCAGAAGACCCGCCAGAACATTACTACCGATGCATGACAGCACCAATATTAGATTGCCCAACTGTAATTAAAAAAATTCTGTGACTTTGCGACGTGGTCGATAAACGGCGAATTATAATCAAGTGTCGTTATATCAGATTAGTGCATACAATTGTGCACACAAGTTTTCTCAAAAATACGCATAAATCTAGCTGATGATAAAGGCGAATTGATTAGTATAATTATGATATTTTTCGATAATAAAGTCGACAACAATTGATAAAATTGTCAAAAATGATAACTACTTATTTATTGTAGAATATATATGTCTGCGCAGCGCAGCGCGCAAGCAAGATTTTAGAATTTATTATTAACAATATTTGAAATTATTAAATTAATTATTACCATGCGGCGGATGGCTATATTTTAGAGTGGAAAAGACTTAAGTAATCCGCTATCATATTGATACTATCTGTTGATACCTACCTGGTGGTTATTCATATTGCTGAAGGACTGAAGAAGCGCGGCGAACTGAGAAGATGATCCTCCGAGGAGTTTATATACTGAGCGGTCCCTTTGTTACAGTTTATCCTTCGTGCTGCATATCCATGTATTAACGGCGTATTAGAATGACCGGTCTGCTCTGTGGGAGGGTGTGGAAAGCAGAGAGGTGCACATCTTCCCTTCACTCTGTGATGCATTGGAAGAGATAGCCCATTGGTGACTGAAATAGCTTTAAAATTTTAATTGGAGCTACACACGCGTGACTTCGGTCTCTCGATCGCGAATTTATCTTTGGCGGTTCACGGAATTAACCGCTTAAAAATTGATTCTCCACATAAGAAGAATCTGAACAAAGAGATAACAAAGAGATATATAAAAAGTATATATAAGTTTTTATAGATTTTTAACATTCTTATTAGATGACATTTGATGCTTACAATTAGATGAAAAATAGCCCATTAATTATTATTAAGAACATTATATTGTATGTTTTATTATTGAATTCGTATATCATTTAAAAATATCTTTCAAGAGTGGATTGTGTTACTTTAATATTAGAATATACATTATGCATTAAATGATTGAAATAAATAGTTGACCGTGGAAAAAGTGACAGGATAGTGAAAGGTTTGATATGTCTTAAATTTGCAATTATGATTACTTAGACATTTGCTTGCACGTATAACATAAAGATTTGGTACGGACGCTATTTTATATCAGGAGATACATAACATTAACTTTTACATTAACTTTTATATTAACATAAAATTTTTAGAACACAATATTATTTGTTCTGTGTATGAAGATTTAAATTAGACATTCAACTTCCGATAGCCAATTGATCAAAAACGCGTTGCTACATGGAAAAAATTTTATGTCATAAATTACTGGGTACAACAGTAGCCGCGGACCATGAAGAAATTATAAAAATTTTTTACTATGTGTGTTTTTCACATAATGGCCATAGTATTTAAATTTATAATTCCTTTTATGGTCTACGACTATTGTCGTATCATAGTAATTTTTGATATAAAATTTTCTCCGTATAATTTTTATTTGAAATATATAACGAAAAGAAATGTATATTTGCTTAAATAAATATATTACCGTGTCACGCGAAATGAATATAAGCTTTTCAAAACTATTGCAAATCATCGTCAGATTAAGTAATCAAAGCGCGGAGATTTATTTTAAATATCGTGTCTTGTGCAATAAAAAAATCCAAAGCATGTAACGACAAATGCATTCGATGCATTGCATTTATTGCAAAAAAATTGTACACACACGCGCGCGCGCGATTACTCGCGAGCACACGCACTCTACGGAAATTTACTGCGTCTCTTAGCAAACTTCCTTTGGTTTTCGACGTATTTGGTCTGCGGATCTTAGACACACTGCGATTTTTCTTTCTTCTTTCTGAAATATATCATCACACTTTCCAAATGCCTGGTTTTATAAAAGAAAAACAAAATTCTGTGCAGAGTAACGATGATCTCATTCTCCCGGTCGAAGTGTATCAAACCAATTACCGGGTTGTAGTTACGAATGGAAGTGGATGAAGAAATACGCCTGCCGGTAATCTGATGCAAAGAGGATGAGTGTGGGATATAAATCCAATGCACTCGGTAGTATCATCACACATTTCATCGTTTAGATTGCAAGGCACTATGAGGATCTGTAAAGGGTATTTAGCAGCACATCTTAAATTTCAATGGTAACGATTTATATAGAAACATTTAACAAATTTACGAATCAATCTGATGTCACTCAAGCCTGTTTCATTCACATATGTATATATCATTATGGTACATATAAAATGGCGAAAGAATATTAATCTATTTTATTTGAACGACTCTTATATATTTTCTAATAGATTGATATTGATAGCAATGCTACTTGTCGGTGAAAATTCGCTGATATAAACGCAGTTATTTAATGAGGTTCTATGATCGATCAATATAACGCAAAAAGACTTTTTTCGTACAACCAGATTTGCAGCCGTACTAATTATTATCATTTAAAACAAGCAATTACAAACTCTAATAATATATAATTAAATTCAATTTTTTTTTATCATTTGCGTTTCCCCGACATTTTTCTTGTCTAGCTTTTTTCTTTGTTTCATTAAAATTACCATTTCAATTAAAACACTAATCTGAACCATTAATTTTTTTAAAAGCTTTTTTAAGATTAAAGAGATATTTAAAAAATTTAATTGTAAATTGTTTTGGTCATTAATTAACATTTTTGCCGTAAAATCCGCTTTTTTGCGCAATTTAAGAAATCAAAGTTGAATTTCAATTACTATGTACTGTAAGGTTAATCCGAATACATCAGTCATTCTATTAATCAATCGTTTTATAAATACTGACGGTTTCTGGCATATGCGTGGGACATCTTTTCATTTATCACGATTATGTACTTTAGTCTATTTATACACATTGCCTCATTAACGACTTCACATACAAGAGCATGAGAAGCAAGAAATTTAAATAAATACTAACTGAATAGATTTAAAAAATTATCAATTATAGAAATGTTAAATGTGAGTTATATACATATATTATATATTAAACAATGAAACAGTTACAGTAGATTACAGAATTATCTCTGTCGTAAACAGTAGATTTGATTCCTCTTCTTAAAATTATCAATATCAAGCTATATTGAGGCAAACTTTTATTAAATGTAAATTACAGAATCAAATTCTATTTAAATTTATTGTACACAAAGCGAATTCAGATTAAGATTATTAAAGTTTCGATTTTCAATTCATAATCTTTAATCTTTAATGCGTAAATTAAAATAAGTTTAACAAAGAATCAGATACTCTTGCAAAGAGTAACAATTTATTTTACAATTTGATTTTTTAATCAATAAATGGCGTATTCATATGACAATGTGATTTGTCGATATCGCGAAAATCGGGAATACTTTTATTAATTCTAGCATAATTGCTACTAATTACAGTCGATGTCGAGCGTGATATCGATAGGTAGAATCGCGATGCAAACAGTTGGCCGCATAATTCATCCGAGTGAAGGCTCGAATGCTGTTTGCTCTGTAATCGGGAATAAATGGTGTTACACAATATTCCATGCGATGCGGAAGGCTTGTCGTATGTTACACGTGTATATAGATACATATATGTATGCATCTATATCTTAGTCGAGTTTCTTTAACATATTTTTCTTAATGTGAAGTAATCCAGCTACGTCACTTTTCAAAAAGCGCATATGTACGATAAGTCAAGGTTTAGATCCTTTTCGCAAAGATATCTAAATACATAAATCCGATGTTTATTTTTCGATCCACTAAGTTCACATCTATTTCTGAATATATGTTCATATGCATTTTTAAGATACATCCTCGATCTCAAGTTATCGAGAAATTGCTTCACTAGATTTCGTATTAATTTTTTCTCCTTTCTTACTAGATTCAGTATAATATAATATTCTATAAATATATATGAATCTTTCTAAGATATACAAGATATTACGCAAAATTGTAAAATTCTATATTTTTTACTCGATCGTTTAAGATTCACATGTGAAGGTAATAAATTGTTTCCTTCTTTTTTTTCTCATTATGTGCAGCTCTCAACACTTACAAGTCAATTAAAAGAGGAGAAACTTCTGTGTAGAGAAATATATTATTGGAGCAATCGCAAGCGTTAAAGATGAAATCATACAGGAATCTCATAACGAAACGTTTCTTAATCGGTCTGGAGATTCGCGAGTCACTTAGGCAAAAATGCACTCCGAGACTTTCTCTAGTGAACCAATAAACGTCGGAATACCCCCAACTTGTCTGTTTGCCAATAACTTGTAAATTAGGCTCTTCTCACGCATACACGACTGTCCTGAATATCTTACTCTATTCAAATTCACATTCAATTTTTTAATGGATCAAACGTGCGACAAGGACACTCGCAATCAACTTTACTTTTACTTCCGTTATGTCATTATTTATGATCAAATGATGTATATATTATATATAATATATATATATATTTATTTGATATCAATCTGGATATCGGACTTTAAGTACTCCTTTTCGAAAAGTTGAATTCCATCAGGTGGCAGGTTTCTTTAAAAGATAAAATCACTCACACAAATATGTATTTTAATATTTTTTATCTTTTATTTAATTTTATTTTAAATACATTACATATTATTTGCGATAAAGAATTATCTGTGGCGGTAGCTGAAACATTCTATCATTGCGATACAATATTAATGTCGAATTAACATTAGAAATTTTAATTTAAAATAATCTCAAATGTGGATAAATTAGTTTTGCAAATTAATTTTGTACTTCCACTATGCTATTAGCATGTCACTCTATATTCATAATGATGACACAAGTACTTTTATACATCTCGCGATGTATTTGTGATTTAAATTTAGTATGCAATTTAAGTGTAACAGGTTGGAGAAAGTTTATCTTTCTAAATATGTGTATATGTAAACTTCTTGATGACACAAAACAGTAGCATTGCATACGACGATGTTCTTACAAATAATCTAAACGCCGAACTTGACATAATAAGAAAAGGAAGCTGAAATAGACTTTCTATCTTACTCGTGAAATGAGTACTCGTTATACAATAGAAAACGCTATTATATTAGGAAAATTAACAACGAAATTTGAAGATAATTTAAATAACGTGAAAATTGCTAAATAATAAGCATTATTAATATGATATAATGCAATCACTAGCGGATCCTGATGTCGATAAGTAGGGGGGGGGGAGGGGGGGGGTTTGACCTGCTTTAATGCATTTTTTACCAAGATTTTTTAAACGGATTCAGCAAAATAGATTTTTTTTAACTTGGAAGGGGCGGAGGTTTAACCCCTCTCCCCTCCCCTTCCCCCCAGGATCCGCCAGTGAATGCAATTGTACATTTTTATTTAGAAACCATGTTTTAAATTTGGGAAAAGCGTACAACTTCCTTTTATAAACGAGTTTATCTATACGAGAAAGAAATAATCTTTAAATTTTGATATAAACTTTGAGTTATTGTTTTTACATGAAAGCATTTTATCTTATTGAATTTATATAAATCAAATATAGACTTAATATATGCACAAGTTCAACTTTTATTTTTCTTAAAATTATCTGCAAGATATATAAAAAAAATACGAGAAATGAATGTAGCGCACAAAATTAAGTAATCAAGATGCTACTACAAATATCAACTATAATTATAAAGGAACTGCGACATGTATCATTAGTTGATGTTGCAATGTTGGAATTGATCACGTATGTATGTCTATTGCGGTGACTTTTCGTCGCAAGAAAATGATTAATTTACCAAAGTTATGTGCAATTTATAACAATAAAACAGTAAGACAGACAAGAGAAATTAAATGAAAAAGTTGAATATTAAAATGCATTTCTCTTATTATGTATATGCGCTTTAAATATTTCAGTGAATTCGAAAGGCTAATGAGTACAAATAATAATAATAACTCTGTTATGAAAAAAATGTTTTTATTTAAAAAAAGACTACACTCATGCAAAATCAGTAATCCTATGATATTCTCTTATGCATTTTAATGATAAGCAGGGCCATATGTAGGCGCCGGTACTCCCGAATAAGTGTTCCTTGCACCAAAGTTGTTATAACTGCTGTCTATTGAGTTAGAGCCAAATTGATAATTATAGTTGTTGGCGTTGTTATAATGTCCACCACTTGCTTGATAATTATAACCGCCCTGGTTACTGCCTGCTGATATAACACATGGAAATAATAGTAAAATTGATTAAAATATTATTTATATATGTAAAAATAACAAAGAATGAAATTTTCAGAAAGGTTTTGATCTAATTTTTGGCTCTCTTTAATCTGACAGTTGTAATTGAAAATCACATGTCAAAGTCGCTGTTAAACATTGTATAATTTATATATACCTCCGGTGTATCCACCGATATGATTTCCCTGATAACCTTGGCCAGCATTGTTGTATCCATTGTTTTGAGTATTGTATTGATCCGGATAGGTCGCGGTACCCTCATACCTAACGTCGGCGTGAAAACCGGTCCTCCAATCGGCGGTATAAGTAACGATCTGTGTCCTACCGTCCGGAAGCTGCACTCTGTATTCTCCGCGAACGGTCTCACCGTCGCTCGATTCTCGCCTGCCGAAATCGTTTCCGGTAGCCTGATCCTTCACGGAATAGCCAAACTCATAGGCTTTGGGCTGAAGCAAAAGTAAATGAGTAAGCCTAATTTTTTTCTTTCTTTGTCTCTTTGTGTCCTACAGCGAATGATGAAAACAAAAGGGACAAAGGGAATAAAAAATGTAATCTTGTAAAGATACAATCTTGCGTGAAAATGACAAGTTTTCCTTCGATCAAGTGTAACGGACGATACCGAAGAAAAGTTACTGCGCGATTTAATCTAGCTCATGACGGATTACTGCTTACCACCACCACCGTCAACAATTCGCTCACCAAACAAGTAGATTCGCGCAAGATGCGAATGCGCATCTCGCGAGCGTTCGAGATTCCTCGGATGATTAGCTAACCAGCAATAACGATTTACCATGAATTATGCCCGCGGTCGCAGTTCACCCTATTAATATTGTTACATCATCTGTGGTGCATTTGCGCCACACGTTCTCGCACTTCGTCGCGTCCCACCGGTTCGAATTTGTAGCATCTCGAGACATTCGAATGCGATGCGTTGATTTTATGATGCTTGATTCACGTGCCGTTTAAACAATGTGCTAATATTAACTGACAATGAGCGCAGAACATGCAAGTATTATTTGATTGTGGATTTTCATTAAGTTGATTGAGTTTGTGCAAGACGTGTATTGTGCAAGACGATAATTTACTTGTACGAAAAATTACGGTAATTTTTTTCTAATAGAATTTTTTCTAATGAAACATGTGTATTGAAAGGCGAAATTAATCTACATAGTTTCATTATCATTTTTAAATATAAATGATCAGTTCATTCTGATAGTTAAGTTACTGGCAATAATAAATGAGTGAATAAAGTCATCTGTGTGAAAATGATATTATCACACAAGAGAGTTCTTAATTACATACGATAAATTCTCGTGCTAATATTGAATATTATATCACGGTTCATCATCATACTAATTTTTATTATTAATTTAATTTATCTAGTTTCGGACTAATTATCTCAAATAGTTTTTATTTATATGGCGATTAAACTATGTATTAAAAGTATGTAGTAAAAGTGAATATTAACGTGTCGGAAGTGACAGTCTTAATGTCAATAATAATTTTGGATAATTAAGTAGCGTAGATTTCTTATGATGGTACCAGTTGCAAATCGTAATTATAAAAAATTAAAGAAATATCGACTAGAACACAATATTAAATATCCCAAGATTTGCTCTCCTATTCACCGCCTATGAAAGATTGTGAAATCATCGAAGAAGTAGAGTTAGTTCAAACTCAGAGCGTACTTTTACGGATGAAGTTTACGTAATGAGATCAGATATTTCTTTATGCCAAAAGTTCAATGTCATTTCCAGAACATGATTGAATCATTTTCAACTTTGACCTCAAGAACACCATGTGTTTTCGCTCAAGATGATCGGCGCGATATGTACATCAAGAATAGGATCTAGATTTAGAAAGTAACATTGAACTCCTTGCGGAGAATAAAAGAACATTTATTCTGATGATGTAATGCACTTCTACCTTAATATACTTTATATTACGAAATCATTAAACTCATCGACTATATCGGGATTATCATAATCACTTTACATTTCACAGAATTGTAAATAATTCTTTACGGTCCATTAATAATCATTTTGCAAATAATTTGTTAATAAAGAATGCATCGTTTAATTGCAGAACAATCAGCTTAATTATGATCGTACGTATTTGAAGATTGATTTCGCAAAACACGTTGCATCAGTTATCGAAGTGTTTAGCAATCATTGAATAAAGATCAAAGATAATAGGCTCGCGATTCGTCATCTTATACGTGAATTTGTAATCAGGACAAATACAATATATCCTACATGTATGAAAGCTCTAAATTATAACATACTGAAATATAGGATACATTGTTTTCAATCATGCGTGCGACTTTCGCTCAAGATTATTTAGTCTCAAACATGTATTACAAATACCTCATTATCTGCGTAATCTTGATTATCATGCCCATCATAATGGCCTCCGAATCCGTTCCCACCACCTTGCGTTCCATGATAATTTCCACCTGCGTAATTTCCGGGAACACCGTACTGATTGCTGAGGGGTGGCTCGCAATACACAAAGTTGATACTCGCTATCAGAGCGAGTAATATCTATACAAAAAAGTACGCATTGGATTAATGCAGATATGTAGACACGCGCGTGGAAAATAATAAGATAAGTATTTATTTTCAAAATGATTTTTTCAAAATCGTTTAGTTGATGCAAATGTAATTAAAATTGCTATTCTTGTGGTCGATATTCGTTTATTTTCAAGCTGTGAAAATAATGAATATTGCAAAAGCAGAAGTTATTTTGAATATCTGAAAGAATTTATCAGGTTTCTTATACTAACTTACACAATATTGTTTTTCAAAATTAGTTGACATAGTTGTCCTGCCCAAGAGCAAGAACAAAAGAAATATATCTTTGCAAGTGAAATGTACGGCATGTATAAGATGCTAAATGAAAACACATATAACATTCCCGCATGCTACGTTAAATATATAGTAAAATAATAAGTGAGCTCGGTAAAGAAAAAGCGTTAGGCGTACAATCAGCGCACTGGTAATTAGCCCCTAAAATATTTTCGATGGTTTCCCAGGGATGCTTTTCATGTACCAGATGAGAACGTCAGATGATCAACAACGCGCGCGTTGCGTAGGCGAGGAAATTAGAGTTACGCGCCTCTGCATTTTCTTCTCGTTTCTGCTGTATCGTGAGAAGATGCACGGGATTGCATCACTAGCACTTTAGAAACTGGCGCAAGATTAAAAGAATCAGAAGAGTTCTTAGATATATAACTTGTGACTTTTTCGCCAAAAATATCTTTTATACGTACAACTTTTAGACAATTGAATAGTTGTTTGCAATACACACATTTTGTTAAAATCTAATTTATATTTACAAAATTTTAGAAATTTTAATTTTTCTTGCAAGTAAAAAAATTGAGTTGAATAAAATAAAACGTATACACGTGATATTAAATACGTTTTCAGAAAAAAAATATAACATTTATTTGATTAATTATTTGTTATCATTTGACAGTTGTTTAATTAGTTATTTGATAAATTCTTTGTTACATTTTTAGGCTAGTAAATTGTAGATGCTGCAAAAAATCTTAGATTTTATTTGCAAAATTCAAGAAACTTGCAATATTAGACGATAACTGGAAAATATACATTGACATTCTGTGAATATAATTCAATTAATAAATAATGAGACAATTTAGAAAGAGAGAGAGAGAGAGAGAGAGAGAGAGAGAGAGAGAGAAATATGTAACATCTATATATATTAATTTACACATATATATATAAGTGTGTGTGTAATAAATCTATAACACTGCAGATCGAAAACTTTTATAGGAATTACGTCGTAACTAATAATGACAAAAACTTAAAAAGAGTTCAGGTCTGCTGTCACAAATTTACATTTTTTTTAACAATTACAACTAATGCGATACGCAAGTAAACTAGTAAAATATTTACTTTCATCCCAATTTTATTATACTAAAAGTTATTTTATACTTTTTTAAAATTAAATTTTAACTTCAATTTGTCATTAATAAATACATAAATTGTACTGTAAATTAAAAACTTGTACTATTCAAGCATTGAAACAAAGTTTAGTATAAACACATTCGACGCCGCTCCAAGTATGTACTCGGCTACTCTGCCGGAAACTCACGGCAAACATTCTATTGAATAAACACACTTATGGCGCGAATAATCGTCAATATCCGCGATCACACAACGGTCAAGAGCTCTCACGAGTAAAAATAAGAAAGTTTAAAGTGTGATTGTGATAATCGTTCGATCTATCGAGTCGGGAATGCGTACCGATCTCAGACATCGGTGTCGTTCTCATTTCGCATTACTTTACTCGCGCAGCGTATTTACCTGTCGCACAATTAAATCCATATTCGAAGTAATAGAAATCACGGGGGTGAGTGATGATAGTGATGGTGCGAGACAACGCGTCAAACGGCGAACACTGTCTAGAGAGGAAGAAGAGCACCAAACTGAATGCTGAAATGTGGTGACGTTTCGGCGCGCATACCGGTGCTTATATAGAGAGCTCTTTCTCGTCTCTCCGCGTGGAAGCGGAGAGGATACATTTCCTGCCGCCATCACCATCATCGCCGCTGCCAGCACCGAGGGAGCGAACTGACGGGGGTTTACTCTGAGTAGACGCGCACGGCGTAGGCAGTATAAGAGACGGCGGCCGTGTGTACTTTAGTTCACATAGGGAATCTGCGCGTGTGGAAAGCGTTCCGCGCGCTTTATTTCCTATTGTTCTCTCTCGCGAATTCGGGCATAAGAGCGAGCAGAGCGAGCGAGCGAGCGGGCGAGCGAGCCGAGAGCGTGGAGACGAGACGCGAGTAGAGTCAAGAGCTAAGCTAAGCCGCGCGTCTACTTCGCACGGAGAAAGCTGATTACTTCATCGCGTGGGACAGCCCGCAGCGCACTGTTGCTCGCCTTCTTCGAGCGGACTAATTAGGCAATTGAGACTTAATTAACCTGCCGTAGGACCAGCGGACGCGAACGTGCGCGAAGATCCGCCACGATCGGATCCGCGAGAACAAGCGTTGTGACACAAAATTCAATATTATTCATTTTCAAAAAGAGACATTGCTTAACGAATTACGTAAACAATTGATTACGTCACTAAAAGTATTTGTTGAAATCTATAAAATAAATTGATTTGATCCGTTAACAATCATTTATATAGCTATACACTGACAGTTGGATAATCTGATGTCATAAACACCCTTGAGAAAAATTATAATGAAGAGAACACAGCACGAATGAGTAACATCATTCCTATTGTGAAAATCAATCTAGCCAATCGAACCGAGTTTTGCAAAGAGTTGCCTATTCGCTTCGTAAATTCTACCTTTTGATTTTCTTTGTTTTGCTAATCGTCATCGCGTCGCAGGAGAAAGGGTCAACATCTGGAACATTATTAACGCTCCCACACCTTTCCTTTTTTTATTTTCGTGAATACACACGCCAATCCCGTGTCCTTGAAAGATCTCGTTGTACGCAAGCACTGCGGCATGTCATCATCCTCGTAATATTAATATGCCTGCACCGACGTGTAACTACCGTAACGATATGCTAATGCCGCAATGTACGTTAGCTTGTTACGTCAAGTAGTTAGACCACGTAAGATCCAAACAGCAAGTTAACTCTTTCGCTCATGGCGGACCCAATTATGGACTTGCTTCATCTTCACTTGTAATATTGCAGAAATATATAGGAAAGGTGTAGGATGTGCTTAGTATGTTATGAATAGATTAATATGTGTTATCAAAAAGTTTTTTTTATAAACATTATATTGTTAATTCAAATGGCAAATTAAGTCGTCATGTCTTTTTGCAGTTTTTCAAGTTTGAAGATTAGATTAATGTTTAATTGTAAATAAAATTGAAATTATATTAAGGTAAAATTTATTTTAAATTAATTGAGCAATAACAAGCAAGATAATTAGGAAGATTACAAATAATAATTTAAATAATTTAAAATAATTTAAAAAAGGTAGATAATGAATTCTTATTGTCTATTTATTGTACAACATTCAGATTGTACTATGCAGGTATACATATGTTCGCCGAAGAGTGATCGTCAGAGCTGTGAGTTAATAGAGGATGATAAAAGCGTTGCATCGGGGCCATCCTGTTGAATTCTATATCGTTCTTTACACGCGATGCAGTCTCGTAGAAGTTTATTTGTTTTTAATGACCCATCTCGATGAAACAACAGTTCAGTTTGCGCATTATCTGGTAATCTGTCGGCAAGTTGAGGGTACATGTGAAATTGTGCATTTAATACGACAGTCCAGCTCGTAAGCGCACTTATCATTAGCACAGGCATTATCAAAAGAACATATATTACGTATTATGTGACGTGCATACGTGATGTGCATATTACACACATATTATATGTGCTCTTTAACTCTTTAAGTAAATATCATTTAGCTGTCCATCATTCAAAATACTCATAAAATTAGCGTTTGTTCTTGAAATTCTGCACAAAGTTAATGAAATTATAAATTGATGAAGAAAATTGGGTTCTTTTTAGAAAAAAATCTTGATTGTTACAAACAAAATGGTTAATACTCGATAAGTACAAATGCCCATGCGATAATATATTTGTTAAAAGTAACGGAACATTTTAAATTCTCACTCGAAGCCTTTTTAATCTATTATAATCGTAAGTATAGTCACATTTGTATTTTAATTAAAGAAGATCCAAGTAAGGATTATTGTTATGCGTATTTCCTAAAAATATAAAATTGCTAGTTAATTATTATTGTAAATTATCTTGATTATAATAATTATTACTATTACATAGGACGAATTAAGTTCTGCATACAAAACGATAGTCATTTACGAAGAAGATTGCTAGAATTTGAAGAGGTATTCGCGCTTTAGCATTTGACTCGGCTTTCCTAAGTAATGCATTTTATGCTTACTTTCTACATAGAAGAGTCGGAGAGCCATTGCTCAGGAATACCGCGTGATACAATCTGATTTAAATTTGATGCTATTTGCTCTTCTTACCTATGATTACCTAACGGCGGATAATTCGTTTCGTAATGTAGCGCGCGCGCCGACGATCACGCAATCTCCCTCATCAACGTCCACCACTGGTGGAATCACAGCGGTCCGCGCTCGGGAATCTATCTCCGTGTGCATCACGGCGAATATTCAAATGATAATTGTTGATTCACATGTTGGGTGACTTATAAAAAAATATGAATAAGTAGTTTTACCCATCGTTAGAATTGAGAGAATCTCAATTGTTGTTGTTTGTTCATTTGGAATATCAAGTTTTCAACTTTTTACTAATTGTAAGTGACTAAAATTATAATATATCTACATAGTATATATATAAAAAATAAATTAAAATCTTTTAATTATTTTATGTAAGTCATCTACTGCACCCGTTACTATTGCAATATATTCATTTCTATCACTTTTAACTCAACTTGTAGGTAACGAAACTTGGTTGTACTTTATTCAAATTTTGATGTGTAACAAATAATAAAATATATATTAAATAAACGAGCTGTAAAAACAAAAAATCAAATATTTAAGATATTAAAATCAGATATTTAAGACTTAGTTTTTACCTACAAAAAAATTATAAAAATCTAGTTGCACCAAATTTTTACGAAAAATTAAAAAAAAATCAAAATATCGCTTCAGATTTACGTATATACATTGAGGATCATGATACTCATATTTATCTATCTCGGCTACATATGTGATGTTAATAGAAAAATATAATACAATAAAATATAAGCTTGAAATAAACAACACAGAGGGATAACGTATAAAAATAGAAAATGTATTGTACAAAACTTACATATGCATGTTTAGACATTCTATCATTATAATTATTATATTATACCGTGGCGATAGTTTGAAATCATGTCTATTATCGCTTGAACAATCAACAATAAAAAATTTCGTATATGTTACAAAACTTACAAACTATATCGCCTTTTTTGTTACATTATCGCAATAATTAATATAATAATTTGATACAATAATCAGATCATTATTAAAATTGGAATAAACTAGAAAACGCAACAAGTATTTAAAAATAAATTTTCAATAATAAATATGTATTAAATAGTAAAACAATAAAGCTTGTATCAAAATTCATACTAAGAGCACAAAAAATATATTGAAAAAAAAAACACCTGAAACGCTAAATGGTGAAAAAGATTTTTCATATTTGAATGATGCAAACAGTATTGTGATTACGAGTGAAAAGATGAAAAGTGCCGATACAGAGCAAACATACACCGCTACCGCTGTCAGAAATCGCATCAATTTTCTACTTTGCTACCGGTTTTTTCATCGTACTGAACGGACGGTATCATAGGAGGCTTAAAACCGTATTCCATCTTCGACTGCCTGAAATTTCCGGTATACCGCGCTTCTGGCTGCCTAGACCTTCTTAAAGTAGCTGTCATCGCCGAGATTTGCGTGTTACTTGCGGAGAACTGCGGCGAAAATTTTATCTGAGAAAACGCAGTCTTGTCCTGCGTGGTCTTACGCGGAGACGTAAGGCCCGCGTCTTTGATTGTCGCTTTGTCTTTCTCCAACAGATTATACAGAATCTGTCGTTTGAAGGACCTCGGCACCACAGTGTACGAGGGTGCGATCATGTGCGGTCGTAACACTATGTGATCGTTAAACTTTTTTGGCAGTATCATCAATTTGACTGCATTCAAGTGCTCCGTCGGAATATAGCTCTTGTCGTGGTCGTACGCCGACCACGGCCCGCTGTATAGATCGCTATAGAATTGCGATGTATTCGTTTCGCTTTGGTGTGGTTCAAAGGTGAAACTATCAACGGTATTTTTATCGCGAGAATTTGCGTTTCCGCCGATAAAAACCGACTCGCGTAACTTGTGCTGATATTTATTGGATTTGGTCTCGATCGCGCCGTTATTGTCGATCGGTCTATCCGTATTCACGCGATATGACAGCCGAGAAGGCAGTGAGAAAGCCGGCTTTTCCGTGACTTTCTCTATTGGCACATGCGACGGCGACTTCTCAATCGAATAAGTTGCCGGTAATTTCATGTGTTGCGGATATGCGGAAGATTGCAGTCGTTTGACCGTGTAAGGTATTCTCTTCTCGATGTAGATTGGATAGAGATGCGGCCCGCGAATCTGCTTCTCCACAATATGATCGATTGGCACTTGCACGCGCACGTGATACGGCTGCGATACTGCAACTGGTACCTGTACCGGGATTGGCGCTTTTTTTTCAATTACTTTCTCAATTTCGATTGAATGTGGCACATGGACGGTCTTTTCGACGATCTTTTCGATCGGATAGGGCTGCGGAATTGGCACCAAGAACCCGTCGTTCGCGGATGATCCTTCGGGAATAATCTTGAGAAGAAGTTGCGGAGTTTCTGGTCGCTTTATTTCCGATGATCGGAACGGATTATTTAAGTGCAACTGCTCTCGATATGTACTCGATATGTATGGTTTAACAGGCTGCACATTGTTGTATTTAAATGACTGCGATTCCAAAGTTTGAGGCGTTTGTTCGTGAATACTTGATTCGGCAATCAAAGCCGAAGCGTCTTGCCCGATCGTCTTGCTAGCGTCATCCTTAAGAGTATTGTACTCGTGTCGATTGTGTTTCTGCGGTAGTCCAAATGCATGTGTCTTGACAATGTTCCTATCAACTTGATGGTTACCTAAAACAGAAATCAATATCAACATATTGTCTACCGCATTTCTCTACGAACAAGTGAAAGCTGACAATTTACGCGGCTAATGCACTTTGATCACTGTGCATATATTAATAAGCGCATATAATTATTCCAACATTGCGTGTTAACATTGCGGCAGCGATCAATTAACCGTAAATAAGTAATGAACATTGTTTGTTCCTGCTTGAGAGGAAAGAAAACGTATATAATTATATAGAAGGAGTTACAAAGTTCATCGGATTGCATATACAAGATGTGTCAAAAAAATAAGACTAAATTTTCTCTCAAGAATTAACAACATTGCAAAAACGAGACTGCATCGAACGAGAGCTACATTTCTAATTTAACTTCTGTGCAAACTTCAACTTGCTAGAGAGAAAGAGAGAGAATAAGAATAAGACAAAAAATGATTGATACAAAAATTGAACAATTTAGTATTACTTTGATAGATATGATTTAATCGTAATTCTGATTGCTCACCTTGATCGTACTGTTGCTTGGATCTTTGGGCATTGTTTGTTTTGGTGATATCAAGATTGGAAGATTGGATGTATTCTGCGGGATAATGAATCTCATGTATCGGCGCGGCATAGTAGAGCTCGATAGACTTTTGAATCTCGACAGAATTATCAGGAATCTTCTGTGCGACAACGCCAATAGACTTATCTTTCTCGTCACATTGAAAGTTCTCATTTTTACAATCAACACGTGATTGATTTCTGTTGATGAACTCTTCATTTACAGTTGCTAAACGTTGTAAATTATTTTGAAAATAATTATTTGTGTCCATTGCGGCAGATTGCTCGCTGTTATCCATCAAATCGGTCTCATCGGCGTTCATCAGAGTGATTCCGACCTGCAAAGGATTCAACATGATCGATGATGTCGTTATGGAAGCCGTTGCCGCCTTGGAAGGCTCGGCGTCAATCTTTGAGATAAGTTTGGCATTCTCGACTGACTTGGATGCGTCGTTATCATCCAAATAATCAACTACATCCTGAGGTAAATCCTCGCTGTCAGGCAAGTCAGGCACTACGATGGGAGCCGAGAATTTCCTTATTTGTAAAGGACTAATTTCTACGGACGTCGGTGTTCTGTCGACGCTCTCGGATTTCTTGACAAATTCCGTAGATTTTTTCGTAATTTTATCCGCAACATCATGATACGTTTCAGATGATCCTGCTTGTGACATAAGAAGACTTTCAGACATGTTTTCAAAGAACGAAACAACGTTTGTCTTACCTAGCGGCGAGTTTTCCGTTATTATGCTCCTGACATCAAAATTTTCATCAAAATTCTTTGTATTAGGATCTTCAATTATTTGAGGATTATCGGAAGATAAATTGTCCGAAATGTTTTCTTTTCTTTGCACATATGCAAACGGTTCATGCGTGATTGATACGTAAAGTTCCCCGCGGTCATCTTCATTTTCGAGAGATACACTGCTGTTGAAGGACTTTTGGAAATTCGTATACTTGTCAGTCGACTGGCTATTTGTAGTTTCAATAGTAGATTTGACAATTGCCTTGTCACCAGAGTGACTTTGCTCCCCCCAAACCCTCTGTCCAAAACTGCCAGCATTCTTGACCAGGAGTATGTCTTCAGGTACCGTGTATTTTGGCTCGTAATTCAGATGCTTTCTAAATGGATAATTCGCAATTGTTTTGGTGAACGATGTCGAATATATCGGCGGAGAAGAATTAGAAGTGAAAGTATCACTAGATTCTTTTTCGTCAGCACTAACATCTGAGCTACTTAATTCGGCATTCACATTGTAATCAGAATGATCCTCGACGTTCGTCTTCTCGGGATTCTTCGTTTCTACGTTCTCCAAGTAAGACTGCGCTATCTGTTCTGCAGGCAAATCTCGAAATTCCGTGTAACTGACAACCTGAAAAATGAGTTAAATCATCTATTCAGAAAATTTTTGGAACAATTTTGCAACTAAAATTACGTTAAGAACTTGTGGAATTATTGATGTTTTTATTTTATTATACACTTTTATTTTTTTTTTTTTTTTTTTTTAAATTGTTTCTTTTTTCAATTCTTTCTCTCCCTATATCTCTGCAAATTTATCGATTCGACGAGAAAACAAGTAAGAGATCAAGAGGAAACTCAATTTTGTTAAGCCATAGATTTCCAAGCAAAGTAAATCATAGTGGTTCAAAAGATTTTGCAAAATGCAAAAAAGCAAAAATGAAATATAATGTTTGCGATGAAGATCAATGATTGGCAGAAATTTTAATTCTTTCCAGACAATAATATCGACATACTTTTTTACAAGCAAAATATTCAGTGGAGAAATCTGCATGCGTTCCACTTTGTAAGCAAATTTGTGCTACCTTCTACCGGGAAGTGCTCGTATATAATGACTGATGTGCATTCTTGATAACATATACTATGAAGATTATAAATAAAGAGCACTATTATTTTCAAGGAAATTATTTGTAATACAATAAAGTTTATTAGACACTAAGTATCATATATTTTAAGCAGTCATTTTTCTCAAAAATGCCTGCCAATCACTATGCCGCAAAGAATTAATGTACGTAGAAAGAAAAAAGGATTAGATTTAAAAACATTTATTGTTAAGAAAAATATATATAAGTAAAATCCGCTAGTATCGCCTAACGAATAGTTCAAAAGGTTTAACTGTTCCGTTATTTCTGTCTTCCGGGAAAGGTCAACAAATTCGTCGGACAAATATATCTTTACTATTTTTGCTAGAGAAAGAATCAATTAGTCCTTGAAAAAAATGCTCGCTACTTTTAATGGGACGGGCAAATTCATTAAAAAGAATCTACGGCATCTTGTCATTTTTCGTAATCCCGCACTACGGTTTTCGCATCGCAATGAGATCTGCAACGTGCGGAGGCTGAAAATAACACATCTGTGTAGCGATCGTGCCGCGCACGAGATGAGAGAAAGGTGCAGTTACGGTACTAACATTGATCTTCCTTTCTCCTGCAGCATTCGAGCGAGAAGAAAGGAGAAACGGAAAAGATGTGCTCCGCATTCTTGCACCGCGCGCGAAAGAAAAACCAGTGAGAGTCGTCGTAAATCCTGATGGTCTCTAACGAGAACGAAGAGTGGATCATAAATAGCACGTTAATACATCCTCAATTTTTATCGACCGGTTTTGGACCTTATTATTTTAATAGCCAAAACTCCATAATGCTCTTTCTCTTGCAAATTCGATATTTTTAATTTAAAGGTTCGATATAACATATAAGTTAGTAACTCGTAGAATTTTGCTAAAATATCATATCTTTGCAAAATAGATCTATGAACTTATTTTGTTTTTCCTCTCTTACACAATTGTTGCCAATTTACATTCTAAACGTTTAGTCTGGCAAAATCCTTTAATTTTTAAATTTAAACAAATAATTTTTTATGAAAAATCTTTTCATAATTTTATATACTTTTTTTTATAACAATATTATATTATTTTTTTGTCATTTGATTAAAAAATTTTTTAAATTATAATGAAATATTATAACATATAATCACAATTAGATTATAAAATATTATCATCAATTTTTTGTATGAGATTTGTATATTCTTTTCAATATTTTAATTTTTTTAATATTTTGTTTGTTCTAATAACCTGATTTTGATGGTATTTCTCAGTGAAATGGAGAAGCCGAGAAGTTTTTGCGAGCATTAAGAATCTGCAATGTAGGATTTGTAGTGCGGATAAGCCAAGATATGATTTTACCGTTTAGAAATACTTATCCAAGAGGAACAATTAAAAGAAGTGATGCAAAATAATAACGGAAACTGTTCCGTCTCAAAGCAAATATACACAATTATATTTGTCACACACATAATGCATATTTGGCTCAATCCTTTTTATTGTTTTCTCACCACAAATATCACCGACTAAATGCCATAAAAAGAATAAAAATACATTAAATTATTTATGGTGTACAATCATACAAATGATTTTTTTAAGAACTTGAGATTTTGATCGAAATTTAATTTTCTCACCGTAGGTAGATTTAAGATGCACGCATCAATCGCATATATTTGATGTTTGCCGATCGACTTATTCTTCTGCATAGTGTGACATTGTGTAACAAGTGTATGCGGTACATCTTGCTAAAAATTACTGGAGAACAAATTTACGTTCATGTGTGGCCACTTTCACCGGCAAGTTTCCTTTTAGCGCGAAGAAAATATATATTCCCGTGCCTGTCAGCGCATTCCCTGTTTGTTGTCGCGTTTTACCTTGCCCGTTTTACCAACACGTTCTGCTACGGCGGAACGCTTCTTAATGTTTGTATAATATTGCTCGCGTCGATTAAGCTAATGCTTTGAGAAAGGCATTTAAAAAAATATGGGAACTGCGGTCGATAAATGATTTCGGGATCGCGGTACTTGCAAGTGAAAATATTCTCTTTCTCTCTCTGTTTTCCAGAATGACTGTGACATTCACTCGGTCTATATCAGCTCCTAACTGTAATTCATCTCGTAGCTTGTCGCGCCTATACGTAAAGTAGCACTTAAATGATGCACTGCAAGTAGATCGAGGTTAAAGATTTCTATGCCCCAAGGTTAAAGATATCTGAAGGCATTTGATTCGCCTAAACTTTAAAATCGGTCGGCTTTAAGAAAAGAAATTTTTGGCCATGCGCTTTAATCATTTGCGAAGCCACTTTCTCTGTTTCATACTGAAACTGTTGGTCTGGATCTGTATTCGAGCTTGATTATGTCGTTTTTAATCAGCTTCAAACTCATTTTCTTTACTTCATATTACTAATGTTTTGTCCAAATTTTATCGATTAATAGAAAATCAAAATAACATCTTTTCTATTGTACTTTTAAAGTTTGTATATGCAAAGGAATGTGTGTAACTCTCTGGCGTAACCGTATAATTTTCATTCAAAACTTTTTTCTCCAAGATGCTTCGTTTTTTAAATATTTAGATGCATAATTTAAACATCCTGTATAAATAATTAAATGTTAAAAATTTTACATAAATATTATATATCTTTTAAAAAATTCAATGATTCAATGATGATAATTTTTTAGACTACAATTGCATTCAATAATGTACTTTGAATTTACCTTTTCATCGTTAAATTTGGTAACGTTAGATTCCAAGGATGCTGCTATAGCTGCCCATGTAATAAGAACAATCTGCAAAAGAAATGAGCATCTCGTATCAAAAAAATAAATATGACAAAGAGACTGAAAATACAACACAATGCAAAGGAATTAAATTTCCGGTATGTCATCACTGATTCTGTAATTAAAAAACTTTTTCTCGAAGTAATAATATATACTTTTTATACATTATTAAATTTATAAAAAATAAACCTTTTTAAAATGCTAAAAAACTAATACAGTACCATTTAAAAAATTTAAGTTGATCTTGATTTAGCCTTAATGGAAGAATTCAAGATCATACTAAAGTCTTTATCCTATGTCTTTCTGGCAACTGCACAACTTTTATCTGAAACTTTTTTCCTAAAGATGTTGCATTTACGGAATGTTTAGATGCATTATTATATAAAATGGAACATCTTGCATATAATTATTATAGATATTATATTACTGTATTACTGTATTATATTTCTCTCTTTTTATTAAAAGTACTTAATAATTATAAAAGTATCGTATTTTCGTTTCACTATCATTGCTATTTACATTTAAATTACATTTATTTCTTAAATATTTGTCCAAATCTATCGTTAGCGTGTGATAGGTCAAAGAATCCTAAACATTATATGTTAAAAATTAAAATAAAAACTTTTGGTTTTTGTCACATTTAAGTCATGTAAATAAAGAACAGGGAAAAAATGCTACAATTATAAGAAAAACTTATTTAACTCACAGCGTAGAATCGCATATTTTCTATCTTAGCGCATCAGTGAGCAAAAGCCTCAGTGAGTTTTTTCCGCGTTATCTTGCCGTCGTTGATTTTTCGGTTTGCTTTACACTTTGATTTCTATCGTGATATTTTCTACGTATTCGCGCGATGTTCGCACTCCGCCACAAAACAGTGTACTACTTCATTCTGACGCGATATACTTGGCTTAAACCAAAGTTCCCTCCAGTTATCCCCACGTCGACAATCCGAAAAGCCGATCTGCCAGCAGCAGCCTCTTACAATATCCTTCCAGTATCCGCGAGTAATGTCAATGCACACCAGTAATGCCAAAATAGACATTGTTCGCTTTTTGTTACATTTGACAACGTTATTTAAATATTCAGTATCTTTTACAAATATGTTGAAAAATATGTAGAAATATTTGCTGAATAATTTGGTTGCTTTGATATTGCCGCGAAAGATGTTAAAATATATGAAAAGTATTTTACAACCGACCTAATTATATATTTGTGATTCTTAATTTTTAATTAACAAGTGACTTCCCGTTGACTTTTGTCACATGATATAATAATCATTAAAAATCGTGTAGAAATCTTACACAACATATTCTTAGTATGCGTCAAAAAATGGAAAAAAATTAATTAGTGAAAGAAATTAATTATTAGAAGCTACGAAAGAAATTATTTCTATAGAATTCTGTCGCTTTTAATAAAATATCGACCATTTTGTCGGTAGTCGGTGGACATCTCATATGAGATTCATATGAGATTGCATCCTGAGATGCCAGCAGAAATGATTATGGAGACACTCCGACTCTCCAACCGGGCCTCGAAATGGTCGGAATTGAGCGAACTGTTATTAAGGTTACATGAATAGCAAAGAGGTTGTCGAAGTAGAGTCGATAATTACCATCGGCGCATTTACCATCAGCGTACACTTACCATCGATTGTCGTACTCATCAAGTCATAACAGCTAATCAAAAAGTGGCGCTGTTCTCGGTACAAGCTCTTGATCATCCTGTTTTCCAGGAAAACTTTTCCTGTTAACTTGGTTCGGTGTTCCGATTAGGGACCGGTTTGTTTGCGCATGTGCGGCC